AACATCTCCACAGAGACCTTCCCAGACCTCCATCTCATAGGATGTTCTTTACCTTAAGACTCTATTTGTTTCTATTATAGATGTAACCAAAATTTAGGATGGAGGAGAGAGGTCATATTTACATTGGTCACTATTTTACTCATATAATATGTATGTATATTAAAATGGTGTATTATATGTGTATATTTATGTGTGTGTTTCAATACCTGGCACATAGAGGCTATTCAGGGCATTCAATAAATATCTGTTGAATGAAGTATCACCAAAGGTTAGGGTTCTTCAGAACATCCTGGAATACATTTCAGAAAGCAGGATGGCCCTGAAAACTACTGGGTTACTTGAAAGGCCTTTAGAACACCTGAAGTCCTGAGTCGACACTTGGCAGACTGACCCTTTGAAAGTGTGCAGGGCATAAACTTGTGATATGCTCCTGAAATGTCCATCAGACCCAATGCTTCTCCTGGAGACTTAAGATGTCAACAAAAGGGAAGACCAGAGGATTAAGAATTTTGTGACTGTTGGGGGTTGGAAGGACTATTTTATTTTAAATATATTTTATTGATTTTTTTACAGAGAGGAAGAGAGAGGGATAGAAAGTTAGAAACATTGATGAGAGAGAAACATTGATCAGCCTACTGGGGATGTGCCCGCAACAAGGAACATGCCCTTGACCGGAATAGAACCTGGGACCTTTCAGTCCACAGGCGAACGTTCTATCCACTGAGACAAACCGGTTTCAGCTGGGAGGACTATTTTAGATGTGGAATTCATATGTTGCTGAGGAACCCAGCACCTACTGTGATGTCAGGAGGCATAGAACACTGGCATCCTGTACTGGGAATGTTAAGGATTTGGTGATCGTTAATTCTTTGTGTCAACATGACTGGGCAATGGGGGCCCAGAAATTTGGTTACACATTATTTTGGGTGTGTCTGTGAGGGTATCTCTGGAAGAGATTAATATTTGAATTTGCAGGCTGAAGGAAGCAGCTTGCCTTCCTCAGTGGAAGGCCTGAATAGAACAAAAAGACCAAAATAAGGGAATTCTTACAACTTCACTGCATGAGTTGGGACACTGGCCTTTTCCAGCCCTCAGACTGGGACAAAAATATTGGCAATTCCCAGGTCTCAAGGCTGCTGGCCCTCAAATGGAAACCACACAGTGGGCTGTCCTGGGTCTTCAGCTTGCTGACTGCAGCAGATCTTGGGACTTGTTAACTCCATAATCATACAAGCAAATTCCTCATAGTAAATTTCTTTCTCTTGATATATATGTTTGATATAGGATATTAGTTCTATATCTCTGAACCCTAACACCGACTTTAGTTAGTGTTTGGTAGAGGAAGGTAAGGTGTCCCTTGTCTCAATGAAGGGTCATGCCAGTATAAAATTGTTAAGTATCTTAACTGTCAAATGGTGTCTTTATCAGCTATAATACCTAAGACTCAACTTTTCACATAGTGGGCTTACTCAATGGGAAAATTATTTCATAGTCCTTTGTGAAATAGTTTCAAATCAAAGAAAAAAGTGAGAATCAATTATTAAAATACATCATATCAGAATTAAGGCTAAATTTTGGCCACCAAATATGTGCTGAGTGAATGATGCCACCTATTGAACAGAATAAACCTCAAGAACGTGTTTCCAAATATATGGAAAATGGAAGGGATAGGGAAATCAGTTGTAAGGCATACCTTTTGCAACTGTTAATTAAAAATTTAACTTACTGTTTTAATCTAATGAAGAACTAAACATCTCTAATATATTGAATTTTGTAAGGTTTGCTCTATTTTTTAATCCAATTTTAGAACATAAAGTGCTATTTAATATAAATTATTAAACTTTTAAAAATTCTGATTCCCACTATTTAAAAATTATTTGGATGCTTTAAAAGTTTTCATCCTAAAATACACTGTTTTTAAAATATATCTAAAGATGAGATCTTAACCTACTATTAACCATTTCGTTAACTAAAAACCTTAACTCTTTCCTGCACACACAGACCAAAACTACTTTGTGGTGAGACCAACGGCTAGATTTCACTGTTTTGATTCACGTATGTTACTTCACATGGGCTTGACTGGTTTGAAGAACTGACTATTTTTTAAACTGTTGAAAACTCCATCTAAATCTTCAACGGATGGGCTCTTAATAAAACAAAAAAGTTCTCTAAAAAGAAAATAAGAAGTTTCAAGTAAACTGTGTTTTTTCAATATTACAGTGCTTTCTTGTATGAGATTAAATAGCAATTATTAAAAGCTTAGAACTCTTCCCAATTTTAATTTAATTACATTTCTAGATCTCTCTCATATACTGAAATGGTAAACAGACTTTCTTAACTCATCCATCCCTTTCTACTGCCCTTTGGTATCTTTCTAGCTTTTCAGTAGAGAGTAGTTTAAAAACATGCCCAAATTTGTAGAGAAATTATCTATAATAATAAAAGTGCAATATGCTAATGAGAAGGTTGTGTTTTGGACAACCTTTCGGACAAAGCTGGGGCTGCAAGGGCCCAGGCTGCAAGGGTAGAGTCCCTTGAACAGATTTTGTGCATTGGGCCTCTAGTATTTAAAAATTACTATAAGCTTTTAAGAATATTTTATAAATATGGATAGGTAGAAATACCATAAGCATATCCAATTCAATACAACAATTAAAACCATTTTTTCAGTACTAATGTTCTTGAGTTCAGAAGTAGCTTATTTAATTTATAACTAGGTATAACCTATAAGGAAGGAAAATGTATCCCCTTCACTAAAATACCTCAGGTCAAAAAATACATGGGAATTTTATAAACTCTAAACAGAACCAGAATAAGGAAACTTCTGTGGATGTGTGGTGCTAAACATCTGACCTGAGAAATCATTTGGTCTGGCCTTGCCAACGCATTAGAGGTGAGTTAATTTAATACGTGACCAAATATAGCAGGCTTACTTTTAAGTTGACAATTTTGTATAACCCGAGAAAGATGTGATAAATACCCTTGGTAGACAAATAGCCCTTGATAGAAAAAAAGGTTTCCCATCCCTGACCTATAGGAACTGATCCGATGACAAGATAGAAAACATTTGGCTAGGGAAAGCAACTAGGTCTAAAATCCATTTCCTAAGGAAATAATTCTTCAGATGAGTTCACCTATCTTGAAATTATTCTACACTAACCTAGTAGTTCATCAGTCCAGTATTTCTTAAATGCTATTAAACTTTGATCACTGAATATCTTTTATGTACCAGGACAATGAGTTTTAGATAAATATTTATTCCAAATAATAAGGGCAAATTCTTATGTACTTTCCAGATACTGTAATAAGTACATAATTTATGCTAACTCATTCAATTCTCAAGCCAGCCCTGTGGATTGGGCGCAGAGAAGTAAAGTTATTGCTAAGGTCGCAACTAATATGTGATAAATATTGGGTGTTTCTCATTCAACACTAGTGGTCCCATAAGAAAAAAATGCAAACACTACTTGCCTATAGCACTGATAGAGCAGCGTCTAACCTTTCTAGTTCTTATGTAAGCAATCTGAGTTCGAGAGGGAGCAGATTAAGAGAGGAAGCTATGGCACTATGTGAGTGGTGCAGCTACCGCCACTGAGGGAGAGGGAAAGAAACCAAAACCTATACCTAGCTTCGCAGCCACAGAGGGGGCAAGTGCAAAAGAAGCAGGAAATAGCTTTATCATTAGGAAGACCCTACCTCCCCAGCTCTCAGGGCTATAAAAGAGTTCTCTCTAGAGACATGAAGCCAGAACTGCCTTCTGCATGTGACAAGTGGGGCTTTCCTAGTAGCTGGAGGCAAAGGGCATTACAGTGTATATTCCAGGACCTAGGGCCCATTCCTGGGGCACTTGAAGTGAGACTATAGAGTGGGAGAGGGGAAGGAGGGGGGGGGGGAAGAATGCCCAGCATGCCTGATGTATAAGGCCCATGAAATAATTTGGTCTAGCCCTGCAAGGCAGGACTTGGAATTTAATAAATCTAGGAGCTTTTTCATAGGAACATAAATTTATATTAAATGTATTATATTAAACAAATAATGTTATAAATATCCAAATGGCTGTTGGCAGAAAAAAGTTCCCCACCCCTGCTTTAGAGTGATGAATTAAGTTCTAGGTGCTATATATAAAAATCATAACTTCTATAATACCAATTATGTTATGATTAAGAAACTAAGTAAATGTGTGACTTGTGAAAATATATTATAACAACTTCTGTAGAATGACCATATGAGGGCTAACACAGATTTTTAAATTCTTTCCAACTAGGAGATCACTTAATTATATGAATTATTTCGAACATGTGTGCAAACTGTAAAAGCATTTTATCTTTGGTTTATCATATGTTCATAGTCCATCGCACAATAATTTCACCCATAATTTCACCAGACACTATCCTTATTTCAGAATCCTTGAAAATATTGCAAATTTTCTTTTTTTCTTTAATTGACTATCTTATTTAATCATCATAATCATCTTTTGAAATAGATACACTCAATATTTCCTTTTCACAGTTGAGGACACTGAGTCCCAGAACAATTAACTTGTTCAAAATCATGCAGCTATTAAGTTTTGGGGATTTACAGTGCTTTTGATTAATCTTAAAATATTTGACAATAGTTATTATAGGTATTGGGCCCTTAAGGTTTTAAAAAAAACATCACTTCAGGCCTTGACTGATGTGCTAAATAATTAGAGCATCAGCCTCTGCACCAAAGGGTCAAGGGTTCAATTAAGATCAAGGGCAGGTATCTGAGTTTCAGGTTTGATCCCAGTCCTAGTCAGGTTGTGTGTGGGAGGCAACAAATTGATATGTCTCTCTCACATCAATCTTTCTCTCTGTCTCTCTGTCTCTCTGTCTTTCCCTTCCCCCAACTACCTAATAAGCGATGGAAAAAAATGTCCTCTGCTGAGGATTAAAAACAAAACAAAACAAGTCACTTCAGAATCTAAAATTTTTAAGACAATGACTCACCTACATCAATTGTCATATTTGCATACATACCTCACTGAAAAGGCTTCCATTGACATATGAAATCCAGAGTTTCCAGAAGTTAGGCAGCTGACTTAAAACAAGCTTGGTCAATTTTTCAACAAATGCTACCCGGTGGGGAGGTTTGTATCTCCATGCTAATGGGGAAAGAATAAAATACCATGACTATACTTTTGAAACAGGAATAAAAATCTGTTTAAACATACCACTCCCCACCTAAAAATGTGCTTCATTTTGGCTGCAGAGCTTTAGTATGCTGAAAGACCAATATTTTATTCTTCTGTGATACCACAAACGCCTGCCAGCACAGACAGTACACTCTCCGCAGAGGTCCCTGCTTTCTCCTGGGGCACGGCAGGCAGGGGGAAGGACATGCAGGTCAGGAGGATACAGCAGGGAGGACTTCACTGAGGAAGTTGCTTTGGCTTTTCAACCTTGCTGTCTTTGGAATGTTATATTTCTCTTTAAAAAGTCATGCCTTCAAACAGCAAAGTAAGGCAAAGGCAGGGCTGCCCCATCAATATTTAAATTTGAAGCTAGTATCAACTTATTAGAATGCCACCAGACACCCTATGTAGTGAAAATTCAGTAAGAAGTCAAATAATCACAAAGAAGCACATTCAAACACAATCATGTAATTAATAACACCTCCCATAACAAAGAAATGTAAGCAAATATAAAAATGTTGAAGTCTCTTGGTTTACATATAATTTAATGTGGTTATTATAGGAAGTGGGAAATATGGTCTTATAGATTTCTTATGGGAAGGGTAAGTCTGTGGGAATAAAAAGCAAAGTAGTAATTTAGTGATCATTAATCACTTTCCAGTCTCTCCCATCTTTCTATATCACACTCTTTCCTGTTTCTTCTTCCCTCCACACTGCTCCCTGGGCCCGGGGTTCTGCTTCCGAGCCTCCAACAGGGGCAAGTCAGAGGCATCCTCACTGTCCAATTCCACAACAGTTATGAAGAGAGCTTCTGGAGTCAACTTCTAACTTTTACTCAGCAACTTCAAAGCAGGTTAAGAAAGGGAACTTTCATCCTCCATCAACTACTGGCTTGCTTTCAAAATACTCCCAGGCAAAATGTTTTGTGGTTTATTACTATCATTGTTTTCTAGTAGGAGAAGGTGGATTTTATTTATTTTCCAATGTTTAACAATTTTCTCAATAGACAATATTTGGCAAGTAAAGTTAAAAGGTGTACAGTGAAGTCCACACCCACCCTTGTCCCCCATTGTCTAGTTCACAACTCCAGACATAAGAAATCACTGTTACTAGTTTCTTATGATTCTTTCTGAAATGTTTTTAAGTACAAAGGGAAACAGAAATATGTATTCTCCCCACACCCAAATGAGAGCATACGAAAAACACAGCTTTTTTTTCACTTAACAGTGAATCCTAGATTCTTCTATCGATATATCTTCCCCCTGCCCCCGTTACATAGTAGTTCATAATCTGAAAGTATAATTTACTAAGCAGTACTAGTAAGTTCCCTCCTACTGAACAGGACTATTCCACATTTTTCCAGTTAATTTTAATGTTTCAACCAGTAAGGTATACCTCATCATTTAGGTATATGTGCAAGCATAGATGCTCCTTAATTTACGATGGGATTATAATACATCCTCATAAACCCATTGTAAGTTGAAAGTATCAGAAGTCGAAAATGCATTAAATATACCTAACCTACTAAATGTTATAACTAAGTCTCACCTACATGAAACGTGCTCAGAAGCCAATATCCAAAAAAAAAAAAAAACAAATCAAAACGCTGGCAACATGGTATACTGTATAGTGTTCACCCTGTTGCCCAGCATCACAAGACAGTATCAGACTGCACATGTCTAGCCCAGGAGAAAAACGCCAAAATTCAAAATTAGAAATATGACTTCTACTGAATGTGTACTGCTCTCATATCATTGTAACAACGTTGAAATACTATTAAGTTGAACCATCATTAAGTGGGGGACTGTCTGCATAAGTACAGAATACATTCTCAGAAAGGGACCTGCTGGGTCCAAGGGTACACAGAATTGTAGTTTTGACAGGTATCATTAAACTGACTACACTAGGAACTATTTACACACCCACAAGCAAGTTACAGCTTCCTCATAACCTTAGCAATGAACAAACAGAACACATAAAACCCAAAACCATAAACACTGGAGTTTTTGGTAAGCCAGCATGTAGTGTTACAATGCCTTTTCAGTTTTTATTATGACTGAAGTTTAGTACCTATTCAGGTATGCTTAAGAGCCATTGAAACTGCCTTTTGTCGCCTGTAGAGTCTCTTTATTATATTGGGCATGTTAGTCCTTTGTCTATGTTAAGAGTTGAGAAAGCTTTAAATTCAATTGTCACATATGGGAAAGGCACGGTTCCTTGCTTAGGGCACACTGTAAACTTGTACTTTTTAATAGCAAACTTTTACTTATTGTCACTGTGTGCTAATTCTGTAACTGCACTCTGAGTCTGTCCATGATGCCACCAGGAATACTAAACAGCACAGGCCTCCTACAATTAAATGGACAGTGCTAACGGTAACGTGACATGAGTCCAGTGAGTCCTAAAGGTAATGTGACATGAGTTTAACTTCCAGTCATAAACAACTAGAAAACAAAGCTCAGTGGCCTTTTCTGAGTTGGAAAGAGGAGTTTCAAGGAGGTGAATTGGAAATACAGGGAAGAATTATGCAAAGAAGAAAAACCAAGCTCTAGAAATTTGTGTAAGAGTCATCTTAAGTCTTTACTGAGTATTAGGTCATGCATTTATGGTTTAAGATCAGGATTCCCAGAGCTCTTAGCCTGAAGAAACATTTCTCATCAATTACTTGGCTCATTCAGTGGTGATCCAAGAGATCACACGACAGTAGTAGAGCTGAAGTTTCCCTAGAATGAAGGTAACTCTAGACCTGCTCTAGCAACTTACAGCAGGCCTTGAATGGATCAAACTTACTGTAGGCAACTGGTAAAACCATGTCTAGCATTCTTTAAAGCAAGACAACAAAACCATGACTCAACATCAGATAGTCACAGAGTCTGGGAAATAATAATAAAAAACAAAATGATTAACCATGCCAAAAGGCAAGGAAATGTAAATCAGGACCAGAAACCAGAAGAAAAATTACTCAATAATAGCAGATCCAAAAATAGTGGAGATGACAGAATTATCCAATAATGGCAATGTTAAAATATTTATATGAAAATAATGAAAGAGAAGATAGTTAAAAGAACCAATTGGAACTTCTAGAGATGAAAAGTACAGTATGTAACTTTTCGGTAAAGACACTGAAGATAAAAGATGAAAGAAATTGAAAGCTTAGCAATTGACACCATAAAGAAACACAGATGGGGAGTGAGGAACAGAGCCTGAGTGATCTATAGGGTAATCTACTGGCCTAACATACACATAACTGGAATTTCAGAAAAGGAAGCAGACTGTGAAACATTTGAGAAAATTACGACCAAATTTTTTTCAAATTTGACAAAAAATGTCCAGGATTTGATCAACTAGATCCAAGAAACTTGACAAAACCCAGGCAAGATAAATTTGAACCGTTCAAGGTGATATAATTCATTGTAGTCAGTCTCAAGTATAATTTCTAATTTACTTAAGGCTGTTAGTATATTAACTGGTGGTGTGAATAGCATTAACAGGGAAGGAGAGAGGTAGAGTGTGAAGACCTGAAAAGGATTTTTTTAAAAACTGGTGGGCTGCACTCCAAGGTCAGGCTGTAGGTCTACATGTTTACAGGGCCACATTACAGCATAGCAGGCAGAAGCAACCAGTTCTCTTCTCTAATTGTTTGGTGAGCAGGGTGAAGAATACACACAGGATAAGAAGAATGAATATCAAATAAAAAGCCCTTCATTAAGTATAACTGAATAATCTAATTTTAAGGTATTCTTATAATGGCCATTTATTCATATTTATTAATGAAATGTTTTAAAAAATCCTTATTTCAATATTTGTAAGAATAACATGAAGTATGTCCAAATAAACTTTAGGGGCATTCAAATTTAATATAAAGGAAGGTATTTTTATTACTCTATTGGAATTTTTTATTTCTATTATTGAGGTTAGAAATACCAGTGATCAACAGCATCTAATTGGCACACCCCTACATTATAATCAATGTATTTTATATAAATAAATAAACAATAGATAAATATCAAAATTACAAAATTAAAAAAATATAACATGGTTACAATTTGAGATACTTTATCTAATGAAAAAAAATAACTTATGATTAATAGTAAGTCCTTTCCAAACAAAATTTAAAATTCATTGAAAAGATGTCTTTCTCTGTACTGACAACAGAAATTACTTTTGTTGCAAAATTAATCTTGAAATTCTCACAGAATTTTTTCTGTGGCATATTTTAAAAATATTAAACCACAGAAAATATAAAACTATGTTTTTAACTAAATATGTTGAATAAATACTGACCTGTGACCAATGACTTACTAAGAAATCAAATGGCATGTATTTAATGCACAATGTAATTACTGGGTAGTTACTTAATAAGAAGAGACAATGGTTGATAATATTTAACAGTAATAACAGAACTAATTATGGAAATTTCCAAAAGAAAAAGTTTTAAATTACACAAGTACCAATTTAAAAGGCAAAATGGGCATAAAGAGATATACTTACTGTCATCTCGACCAGACTGAAAGCTGCTGCCCCGCTTCAGTGATGCCGTTTGACTAAGATGGCCCAACAATGAGGGACGCACATCGCTATCCAGGTCCACCATGGGACTGTGCAGGCCTGCGGTACCTGGAAGGGAAAGGAAACATTCCTGTAGGTTCTGTGTGTTCATTTTAATATATATATATATATATATATATATTTTTTTTTTTTCATTGATTTTTTTTTTTTTTTTTTTTTTTTTTACAGAGAGGAAGGGAGAGAGACAGAGAGCTAGAAACATCAATGAGAGAGAGACACTGACCAGCTGCCTCCTGACCACCCCCCACTGGGGTTGTGCCCGCAACCAATGTACATGCCCTTAACCAGAATCGAACCTGGGACCCTTCAATCCACAGACTGATACTCTATCCACTGAGCCAAACCGGTTTCGGCTATGTGTTCATTTTTAATTGATTTAAAGAACTGCTTCTCTGAATTATAATATTTCTTGCTCGTTTTTTTCACTCTTTTTAATAAAGAATTTACTAAGTAACATAAAAAACATTTCTTTTAAGTAGCTTTTAAAAATCATTCTCACCATAATAGATTTAGAGATCCAATCCACTACTTTGGCTTGACACAGAAATGTAACAAGTCATGGAGTGAAACTAAAATACTATTTTAGAGTGAAGGTTCAGTAAACTGGGGAGAGAGATGTTCTAAAAACATTAAAGTCAGCATGAGAAATCACTTTTTGAAAAACGACTTGGCACTTGGAAGTCACAGAGGTCTGAATTTGAATGGAGCAGATTTATAGCACAAATCTTTGACTTTTCCAATAAATTTAAATCCCCTAATTCTATTTCTTTCTTTCTTTTGGAAGTGGAATTGGCTTTCTTGTTTATATTCCTGATGGCAGCCAAGCTAATTTGGATCCTTTTCACCCCACAATACTAATATTCCAGAAGCCTAACATGTCACTATTGTCAAGAAATTATCTTTATTGTTCAGGATTAAATATTTCAAAATATCCCCAGAATTCAACCCAAATTATCCTAAAATCCAGGAAACATTTTGTCTAAATTGGGTATAAAGAGCTGTTAAGATTGGAATCCCATGTTGGTAAATATGTTAGTAAGACATTCATTTAAAATGCTAAAATTTGCCTTTCAGTCTGTAAAGGTGCCTAGGAGCCCCCTACTCTGAGCTCTTTGGCTAAGCATCTTCAAAACAAGCTGAATTCACTGCATACTTACAGTCTCTTAAATATTCTCCCTATGAAAATGCATCCCACATTTTCCTACCTTATTTTCTATCCTCTCTGCCTAAATGGACTTACTCATTCTTCTTTCTTTAAAATGCTATTGCATGAAGTATTGCCATCTTCCTAGGGATAAGGATTGAATATTATATCTCTGTCCAGTTACTGGACCTTCTGCAATAATTCCTTCAATATATACTGAGTGACTGATACTAAATTAGTCAATAAAAACCCTATATGATATTTTATAAGTTAATAGAATTCTAAAAGCTTATAGATTTGTTTTCAGGTGTAAAAGATAAAACACATTTATAAAATAATAATTTTATGCCACTGGTAATATTAGCTATTCAATAGCACTGCACAGTTATATATTAAACATCTCCTATGTGCCAAGAACTATGCAGACCCTTGGGATCAGATGATGAATAAAAAAGATAGGCCCCTGTTCTCAATGTATTTAAATTCTGGTGATGGAGGCAGAAAAAAAAGCAATAAATAAACAAAATATAGTAAAAAGTGTAATGTTTCATGGGCTCCTCCTATCATGAGCCACTTAATGTGAAATATAATATGAAATTATAACACAATATAATACTATCCTCATAAATTTTACCAGGTAGGTTTTATAGAAACAGAAATTTATTGAAGACCTATTGTGTTTCAACTCTGTGCTAAATGTGTTATTTATATGAAATTTCTAGTTTGGTAAACATATCTAATATAAGAAGACTTATATAATTTAATTTTAAGAAAACAAAATTAATGTAATTCAGAGTATTATAAAAAATACAAACGAGGAAAATATATTTTTGTACTAACTAATAATTTCTAGATTAAATAAGTCATATAGTTAGCACATAATGGAATTCAGAAAGTTAATATCAAAATATCAATTTTATGAAACACCCTCAAAGTATAAAAGGGCTTGAACTTAATATCACATTAAACATTTGTATAAAAATTTATAGAATATAAAAATATATATTAAAAGGTGCAAGAAAAGAGCTTTAATTTAAAAAGTGACAATGTTACTCTTGAAAGTTTCAGGACTTTAAATTTTTTACTAAAAAAGGAAAGGACTTACTAGTTTCCTAAAAGTACATTTCCTAGTTTTATATCATTCTTAAAAATATACAATGATCATTGTTCAAGTAAATCCTCAGAAAAGGTTTTCTACATAACTGATGTATTTACAACTTTACTTTAAATGATTTAAGATTAAGGTGTTTATGTAGCTTAGGGAACTAGAATTCTTAAACTGTTAGAGACTGATTTATCTTTCCCTGTATTAAGAATACGCTTTTCTTCTATTAGAAACCATAGCATAATTTTCTATGATATCAGGAAAAGAAAGATAACATAACTAATTTCTTAAATGGTGATGTTGAATTACCAGCAAGTATGTCATAGCAGCAGGAAGCTAGAACAGCAGTCTGCCCTGAGAACTAAGGAACATCTGGCATCTACAAGATGTGTTTCTGCTGAGAGACCAGAAGAGAGCGCTTCAGCACTGCACACAAACACACATATCCAGCACACCAAACAGTGGGCATTAACTCAGAAATGTGTTTTACTCTATACTATTTTGCATCTTTTTACTGTCAAAAATAAAGGTTTCACAGGAAATTAACAGCATTATCCTTTGAAGAGAAAATTAATGAAAAACTTTAAATTTTAGTAGTCAGAAAACAAGTATATAAAAAAAAACTTTGAGGATTCTGAGATTTCTTTTAAATTTCCACCCTACAAAAGAATGAACAAATATGAAGTGGTTTTAATGAGAACAATGCATTACTAAAAAGGACAAAAAAATGTGAAAAAGAAAAAATATTTTCTGTAATAAAATCAACAAAAGGTTTTAAAATGTCTTACAATAAATCATTTTACTTTACCTCACAATATGATAGCAATATCTACTGATGTATTTAAGAGAATATATATATTTATACAAAACATGTAGTTATAAAGGAGATTATGAATTTTCATATGTCATGCTCTGATTTATGTGCAGATCATATGCAACTGAAAACATTACTCAGTATTATTACTCAGTATATTTTCCCTGAAGAAATAAATTATTTTCCCTTGCTATCCAGCTGAGGATAGTGTCCAACTGTACACACACACACTTCAGTTTTTTCATTACAATGTTACCTTGCAATGGGACATTTTGTAGGTGACAGAGACTAAAATATTTGTAAAACTGTATTTGACTTTGTCTTTTGCAAACTTAATACTCCATTAATGAGTTACGAGAAGTCATTATTTTCTTGACAGTAAATTTTCTCTAGAAATGAAATATTCCTATGATGTTTTTCCTAGATGAAACATTTTTAAAAGCTTTTTACCAAATGGGATGACACTCTCTCTGGCTTCATTTGTGCTAATGATAACAATTGCTCTCTATATTTGAAACCTAGGGCAGGGTTTAATCCTGCCCAAGATTCTCATGGCTATGCAACTTGTGTGGGGTTTTGCAGCTAGCTTAAGGAGTCATAATAGGCCTATGCTTTATAACCTGTAAAAATTAGGGGTTAAAACCATGCAATTTTTAAAGTATCTTTTTAGCTATAAAATTCTGATTCTATTATATGAAGTTTAATGATGAACCTTTAAATCACCACTGAGAACAAAATATGCTTATTCTGCTCACTATTACTAGAATTTAGGACATTGATTAGTGGTGTCATCTAAATGTATAAAAAATCTGCCACAGAGGGCATATTCTTAAAAGAAAAGCACATTAAGAAAATATTAAAGGCGACAAAAAGTAACAGTGAAAATCTTTATCTGAATTTTACAATTTTATTGTGAATCTTACAACTTAGATATGTCAAAGACACTAAGGAAAGTAACCAATAAATATTCTCAGATAAATAAGTGTTTTTAAGATCCAAATTACTTGAGTATATCCTATCAAAAGTTATCTAAGAGGAATAACTTTAGGGTAAAGACTACTTTAGAAACAAAACTGCTCATAGGAGCACTTGTGAACAGCATGAAACGCTCACTATAATATTTGTATAAACAAAATTCTAGAACTGAATGTCCTTCAGGTCCTCTATCTTCTAAATTCCACAAACTAGTGTTTGAGTTACAATTTTACCAATATATCAAAGAAAAGATAGGTATCTTATCTACAGATATTTGGAAGAATCATCTTTTCAACACTTAAAAGTTTTAAAAAGTAAGCTTCTTAATTATTAACAATCAAGAGGTCAACCTTTTTATTCTCCAGTTAAATAAAGTTTCTATAACATGCTACTGGAAATCTTAAAAGAAACTCTTTTCCTAAATTGTGAATACACAGGAGTAATTGAAAAGATTTAAAACAAACAAAATTAGAAAAACCATTTTTGGATATAATAGTACATTTTGTTTTAATATGAGAAAAACAGAAATTTTCTTTCAGAAGTTATTTTCTTCACAATGCCAATAAAACAATCCACCACTTCATTAAAAGAATAAAAGCTGCAGTGTGGAAATAAAAGTTTAAACTGCTTTATTTTATAAGAGAAAATACACTAAAAATCTCTTATAATTTGCTATTGACAAACTGAAACATTTGCTATTTTTTCCTTACAACTGAGAGATTCCTACTAGATAAAAAATAGTCTTCAGCTTTATGCTAATTTATAGATCTGAAAAGATCTACAAAGCTAAAAAACTTAAGGGGTTACATTAAAACGCTGATTCTTACCAAAAACTCCTAACGACTTTAAGATGACTTTATAGAAAATGCTTATCATACCTAGTATTCCTCAGACTTCCTGGAAACCTTATCATGTATCAGTCAAATCCTTTCAACTCAAGATGTGCAAGTTTTCCCTATTTTAAATGAAAAGCAGTTAGTATTTGTTTTAACAGACACTATATAACATAA